AGCAGTAACCCCACAGCTGTCACAACGTGCCGATCTGAACCAGCAACCCCAATGATAGTTGTGCCAGCTCAGCGCCCGCATGGAAATGCGGGGCTGGAAGTCCTGATGAAGAAGGAGACAATCGATCCAGCACTTCGAAGAAGATGAAGCTCCTCATGAGGAGGAACAGCAGATATGGCTTCCAACTTCCAAGTGGAAATGGCAGCGCCCAAACCCAACAACACAGTCCTGTGGAAGATCTCCAGCAGAGCTGCGAAATAGCAGCAGGTGCAGTCTTCAACTTCATTTCCTAACCCCAGCTATGGCTGGGCTCCGAGCAAGAAGATGACCTCGCCCAACATAGCACAGCAGCGCTCCAGCAACGGACGGGCAGAATTTCCCCAGTCAAAACGAGATGCAAAAGACCGGAAACTAGTTTCCTGCCCGCTACTTCTACTCCCCGACTGGACCTACGAGAGCAACCTACGACCTCCCTGTACCAACCCAGGAAACGGGAAAAAGGGACCCAGACCTATGACCGGGCAAAAGTAAAAGGCCTACTACCAAACAGAGATCACTAGTGGCAGACTCAGGGATCAAGTCCCAGAGGACGCAACACTCACAAATAAAACACAGACAAGTTACAGGTCACGGGACCAAGTCCCACAAGCCTCAAAACAAGCAAACAGCAGGCAAACAGGCAACACAGCAAACAAAGGTTGTGGGATAAAGTCCCGACAACGACAAGATGGACAAAATTAGTATACAGCCCGCTTGTAGCACTGCAATTCATTGCACCAGAGCCCAATAGTTGGATCATCTTCTTCTTTGAACCATTTGTGGGGCTTTGTGCTGCCCACGTCCAATGTAATGTATGGCCCCATCCTTCTCCCCATCTCCCCGAATTCTTTCTCCATGTCCTTTTAAATACAGATCGGCGAACAACAATGACCTCTACAGTATTGTTTCCGGAAATTTCCTACTTTTGATGGATTCAAGTCTTTTCGTCAGGCCGCACTTCGCACAATTCCAACCTTGTATTTTGACTTTTGGTTGATGCACACAGAATCGCTTGCCGCTTTCCTCCTGTCCACTATGTCTCCCCACCCGCTGATCAGGAAGCTCTCAAAATCATTTCGCCCCCCTCCTCCCACCTGAATTCCCCAGCTAATTCCCGAGTATATGAGACTGGATTATCTGCACTCTAGCCTCATGCCTATCTACTGATCAGGGGTCCTGCGACCTAACGGAAGGAAGAGTGAGTCTGTGGTCCCTCGCACAATGCAAGTCTCAACTTCCCGATCAACAATCATGGATAATAGGGTATGTGTACTATGTACTATGTAATGATTCCGATCTATGGATACTTTTCATTATGTCATCAAAATAACAGTAGAAATCAAAACAATACCACATCACAAGCAGCTTTTAGTTATAATATATGCCTCCAGCAGGCTGGCCTTACTTATCACACCGCATGACCAAACTTTGGGCCAGCCCAAAGTTACTGAAAGTTGGTTATCTCTGAGTATTAAGCAGTTGCTAAAGTCTGATTTCAGTTGTGCATTGCGTGACCTTCTCTTTTCTTTTCTTTTCTCTTCTTATTTCCTGCCATTTTTCTTGTTGGTTTTGTGCGGCCGTGATTCTCCCGGCCATTCTCAGGCTGATGCAGCAGCATGCAAATTCGAAAACGTGTTTGGAGAAGAAGCATTTCATAGAACGGCAGAAATCGGAAAAGCAGGCAAAAGGTGTCCTCCTCCTCCGGCAAGAGGTAAGCACTGCAATTAACTCCCCTCTTTCACCCCACGGCTATATTTCTCATCTCCTCACTGATTCAAGTAAGAACCGAGTCTGCGAGGAATATGCGGAGGGCCAGCTGGCAGTTAATCCTCAGCCTAGCAGAGCAATCCATGCTGACCAGGGGTCCTTCGGCCTAATGGAAGGAAGCGTGAGTGCGCAAAACTTGCAATATTGTATAACTTGTGTATTCTTATGACTTGCCAGGGGAAGAGTAACCCTGCTGATGCTCCACAGCATGAATTCGGAGCCAGGACCATGAGGACCCTTTTTTTTTTTTTTTTTTTTTCCAAATAGCATGCTTCTTTATATATAGAGCAAAAGGAGGCCGGGAATCCCTCCACATCTCAACCCGGAAGACTGGGACCATTACCCAGATTAGGCTCATACTGAAAACGGGTCCAGTGTCCCTTTCTCCTGTCAATCTACATGCCAATAAAGGAAAGAACCTTCCAACCTGCCCCTAGGTTGCACTTAGGAGCCGAAAGAACCAACCATCCTACCCCCAGGTTGCACTTAAGAAATGAAAAGGCTGAAATGAAATGGAAAAGTTAAAAAAACTGAAAATGAAGCTTCATGCTATTTCTGAACGAAATCTGAAACTGAAGCACCAAAAGTTAAAAAAGGAGAGGACGAAGGAACCTGCCTACTGTCTTCCCAATCAACCTCATTTTAAGCCTAAAAACCGACCGCAGTTGTTGCTCATCTTTCCAAGTACCTCCGACACCTCCTCCTTTCTATCCGCTCTTCGTAAACCCTACTTTGGAGATGGAGTGTGGTTTGGTTGCATTAGATGTCCAGATTGTCCCTGGGTACCATAGCATGGAGAAGATGGATGTGTTCAGGGTCAAGGCCCTACCGAAGACTGACGTGTACACCGCTGACCAGGCCCCCAGCTTTGCTAGGATCTTGGACATGAGATCAGCTGCCATTGTGTGGTGTGGTCTCGCTGCCGTTATCTTGACACCTAGATATCTCAATGGGGCGTATGCTGGCATCCATTGGAGCCCTTCTGGGCTTGAGACTGGGCTTTCACCCTCTTCCTCCTGGTCTGCCAACCACCAACCTACGGTCTTCGGCCAATTGATCTTCATTTCCGATGCCAGTTGGAAAGCCTCCATCGCCCGTGTCAGGGTTTGAAAGGATGAGTCTGATGCCCTAATTAGTACTGTGAGGTCGTCCACGAAGAGGAGGGTTGTAGGAAGGTGGATAAGATGTCCTTGTTGGTCTGGCTCTGTTGTAAGTCGTTGGATTGATGGGTGGGTAGAAGTGCGGCAATTGCAGTCAAATGAGATGCCTTCGCTTGGAAGCCAGAATTTCTGGAGAGGAAGATAGCACCAGCATCTTCGGAAATAGACCTAGCTTTGCCAGAATCTTGAAGATTTGAAGCAGCTAGGACGCAGCGAACCAAGCCGTGCCACACCTCATGGCGGAAGGAGGGATAGGAGGGTTCAGAAACAGAACAAAGACGGACCACGTAAGTCAGATAACCCCGGAGCGTAAAATTGTTTCATGGAACGTGAATGGGTTAGCAAAAATACTAGACAACCAAGACAAGCGGAACAACGTCACAAAATACAGGGGATGGTTCGATAGCTCTCCACCAGACCGTCTGCTTTCAAGAAACCCACCTCACGGAATCCCAAGAACACCAGCAAACGAGGAGCAGGATAACACAAAAGCTGCAACAGGTAAAAGGGGCCTGGTGGGCATCAGCGGTCAGGCCACACTCAGCAGGAGTAGTCATACTACAGAATAACAGGTCAGTAGCGAAAAGGAAGTTAGTACTGAGAGAAACCCAGGTGGACACAATAGAGGGAAGATGGGCGAAAGTCAACTTTGACTTCTACGACGAGCTGTATACGTTGATGACCGTATACTGTCCTAATGGGTTACAACAGCGGAAGGCTACAGTGGAATGCATACAGGAGCAACTGGACTCGGACAGGCACCTAATTGTAGTGGGGGACTGGAACGCCACTTTAGATCTCAGCTTAGATAGGATGTCTGCATCAAGCAGACACTGGGAGGAGGGAGGGAGAAGAGGCCGCGCCATTTCACAGTATGATGACAAGCAAAGACTTGATGGACCCCTACATGCTCCACTTCCCGGATGAAAAGCAGTTCACCTATCTCAAAAGGAACCGCAGCCAGCATGTCTCAGCGTCAAGAATAGACTACTTCCTAACATCCCCAGGTATAACGGACATGATACATGAGGTAGGCATAGGTGATTTACCGTACGTGGCAGGTTTTTCTCCACTTGATTACAAACAAACAGATCGCGAGGGGGAGGAGTTTCTATAAAGTAAACAACTCGCTGCTGCGTACCATGGATATGAGGCAGGCTATACTACAAGTATCGTAGTCCCACAACCCTGAGTTGCTAGCCTTCCCAGAGCTTCTCATCGCCCTATCTAAAGCCTTTGAAGGGGTGGCCAGGCGGATGGCGGTTAGGAGGAGGGAGAGGGAGCAGGAGCTTCGGCAGGCGATGGGATTAGCTGAGCGTAACATCATCAAGTGTCCAGGAGTGACGATTTATGAAAGGGCTTTAGAGGCGGCGAGGGAGGAGCTAGCAGAATGGGAACGATGGAGACTGCGGGGTCTTCAAATGAGGGCCAGGGTAAAGGAGTGGGAAGAAGAAGAGCGAATGACCAAATTTTTCTTTCTGAAAATCAAGACCGGAGGAAGAAACGCCCTGATAGACCAATTGGAGGGACCAAACGGTCTAACATCTGCCACAGAAGTGATGGTCCAGGTAGCCCATGACTTCTACAGCAAGCTTTATGCAACAAGGGAGGCCGAACACACAAGGCAGTAAGTGGAGGAGGCACGATCCAAGTTTTTGCTCCACCTTGAGCCTACGATCACCCTACAGCAAGCAGCAAAGCTCGACGCCCTGTTAACCCAAGAAGAATTACGGAAGGCTTTGAAGTCTATGTCCCCGAATAAGACACCCGGGAAGGATGGATTGACCAAGGAATTCTGGGTCGAGTATTGGCCAATCCTGGGCGAAGAGTACCTAGCATACCTCGTGCGAGCATGGCAAGCAGAAGGCCTGGGACAGGACCCATAGACAAGAATAGTCACTTTACTGTACAAGAAAGGAAGTCCAACGGACATTCGCAACTATAGACCAAAAAAAAAAAAAAAAAAAAAAAGCCTTTACTCACACTCATGCACAAGATAGTACCCAAACTATTAGCCAACCGTCTCACAGCAATCATAGCGTGATGCTTTCATTTGGATCAGACGGGGTTTATACCTGGACGGTTCATATTAGACAATGTCATGGCATTAACAGAGTCAGTATGATACATAAAGGACAAGAGAATCAATGCAGCAATACTATTCTTCAACTTCGAAAAGGCGTACAACCAGGTCAGTTGGCCTTTCCTGCAGCAATGCATGGAGAAGATGGGAGTATGTGATACGCAACCTCACGCCCCCTCGCGACTTCCCGTACCGGGTCGCCGATCAGAGTTATAGGAGGGGCGTGGCCGAGGATTTTTGGCCGTAGGGGTTGAGTCTCCCGGTCGGAACGGGAGGCTCTCGTTTCGAACCAGAGGTCATCCCGGGATCGATCTTTCACCACTGAGTCCCGGGGAGGTCGGGTCGGTCCAGGGTGACGAAAACCAAAAAGTTCCGCAAAGACGAGTTGTCGCGGTGAATCAAAACGAAGAAGGGCAGCAGGGGGAGGAGGCCACGATGGCTATGGACCGAAGACCGGGCCTTCAGGTTTTCGTTGTATAGGTGGTTGGTTCGAGGCCTTCACGCCTCGGCGTCGGACTCACAAAGTCCGCGCGGAAGTTCCCGAGAGGGTGAAGCGGCGGGAGAACTTGCCGATATCCGAATTCGAAATTGCGCGGGCAGCGCCCCCGCATTATGGAAGAGCTCAAGGAAACGTGCCGCTCCCTCGTAACCCCGGACCAGTCGTCGCCAAGAACACAAGTCCCCCTAGCGACACCAGCGACAATCAAGCTGCGGCCGCCACGTGGCGTGAGCGGCCGACCAGGGCAACACAGTCAAATCCGTATAAGGCAATATTAGAGTCGGGGAATCGAAACGATCAATTAAGACGAACCCGTCTCCCCTAATATTAAACGCCCGGGGCGGGTCTCGCCAACAGACTTGCTCCGTTCGACTCAAAGCGCGCCGTACATCCGCATCGGAGTAGACGTCGTCGTCATCTGCGATGGGGAAGGCCGGTAGCGAGATGGGACGATCGAAGGTAGGCGATGAACACGGGCCAGGCCCCGCGCTCCCGGTCCTCCGTACCAACACCGTCTCCATGCAACACTCGATGCAACCCTTCTCTCTCGAGGTTAGTGCGTCGGCAGAAGATGATGAAATCTAAGTTATCTTCCCCGTCGCGGGGGCGTCAACCGCGCGCGCGGACGCCGACGGTTGGCGTCATCGGTACAGGGACGAGAAGTTCAAAAGCGATGACTACCAGTTCCAAAAGAAAGGCGAGAGAGAGAGAGAGAGTGAGTTTACACCGAGACTGCGCGTGCGCGCAGGAAGGTCCGCGGAAGGGAGAGGAACAACGGGATTAACACACTCATACTCCTAAGGAGACGGTCCTCCAGTTTTGTTCCCCCATCCCCGCCCGGATAAGTACATACACACATACATGCATGCAATCAACAACCCTTGACAGGACATCCAATCATCCATAGATCTTTGACATCATTCATGCGCACAACAAGCTCCCATCACTCGGGGCCTCACACACACATCATGCAGAGACAAAGCAGCAATGGAGATAAAGGCGAGTCCCTCTTGTGTACAAAAATTCTCAATTAACTGCCGCCCCCAGGCGCAGCCTTCAAAACTTCCCAAGACCACCGACCACCATAGCCACAAGGCCCTGCCGCGGTCGGCGTCCAATCCCCACCACTGCTCAGTCCCTTCGACTGCTTCGCCCCGAGACTACCGCGGGTCCACCCCGCGTCGTCACTCCGCCCGTCCTTGGGCTCGTCGAGCCTGTTCGGCCCCGTGGACTTCGTGCATAGCTCGCACAGCATTACAGCCGAGATCAAAGAGAGGGAGAGGAGAGGGTTGCACGAATTTATAGCGCGGGAGGCGGCGGGTTGTCAGCGCGAGGTGCGGGCAGCGCAGGGTGTAGATGAGCAAGACAGAAGAAAGGTGGGGAGTCAGAAGGTTCGAACCGCGGGGTTGCATGGTCCTACGTGATTGGGGTGTTCGTTCAAGTGGTGCGTGGTTTCCCGCTCTCCACATTGATCCGAGCATCCCAACTACGCAGCCAATCACTTCACAGAGGAAGACGGGGTAAGGATCGCGCTGGGCGTAGGGGAAGATGAAGAGTCCTGCATGGGGGGGGAACGCGCGCAGCAAGAAAGGAAGATGGCGCGGGGACGCAGAGCAAGAAACGGGGGTGTGAGACGCGCGAAGAGGTCGGAGCTTAGGCGCGCGCGCACAAAAATTCAAAAAGTCCCACCCGAAACCGTTTCTTGGTTTTCATACCGCGGCCGCTATTCGCTCGCGCGGGAATTATTAACTAAAAAAAAAAAAAAGTGAAAAACCGTTTCAATTTTCAAAAGAAAACAAAAGCAAACAGAAAGAAAAAACCCCTTTTTGTTCGCATCCGTATTTCGGGGCCTCCGGGGGATTTTTCCTCAGGGATACGACAAGCCGCGAAGTACGGGTCTGAGCTTATCACATCTGTGATACGCAAGGGGTTCAAAAAAATTAGCAGTCTCCTGGCTGCTGATGTCATCATGTTTTGGATGCTCGGGCGGCCTCTTCATCGTCAGCTGGCCCAAGCATCTCCTATCCTACTTCGATGCATTTCGCATCGTCAGTCATCTCCCTCTTATTATACATCCGATCGGGCGGCCCCTTCATCGTCAGCTGGCCCGATCGGTAAGTAGTCCACTGAATTTTTTTATTTTTATTTTTATTTTTATTTTTATTTTTTTTGTACAGCGCGTCTCGACGTGCAAACTTTGGAGATAGGAGAAGAAGACGATGAAGAGAAAGAAAAGGAGAGAAGAGGGGAGAGGTAGACGAGGGTCATCAAAGGAAGTGATCGATGTCGGGATTAAGAGGGGGCGGAATCGGGGGAAGAAAAACGGCCATGGCCGCGGGAGTCGTCGACGCGTCCTCCTCATGGAAGTGGTGCTGGACGAACGAGGGATAGAGAAAGGGCCCCGACACATGAGACAGGACACGTGGCGCCAGATCTGCCACCGCTCGCACCACCCGTTTGCGTAACGATCGGGGTCCGGGACCCGTCATCACCAGATGAGTCTCGGTGTAGGGCCGCCGCTCCCGCTTCTGCGCCGCGAAGATGAGGAAGTGGTACATCACATTGGGACGCTGCCTGGTCTCGTAGATGAACGTCCCCGCCAGCCGCGCCGCGATACACCCTTGAAAAGGGGGTGTCAGATATGGCTCCCACGCCGGATCACGGTGCGGTGCCCCCGCAATGGCCTCGAGCCTGATGGTGGTGGGCTCCACCATGAAATCCACCTCGGTCTGATGGACCGTCCGACTCTGAGGAACTACTAATGTCAATGATCGGGGCACTCCGGGGTGGCTGGCGGAAGCGGAAAGGTCCCGCGAGGACGGGGGATCTGGATACGGGATCCGGTAATCCCATTCGGCTTCCTCCTCCGGCTGTTGCGGCTGATGGCCCGGCTCCATCGAGATTGAGATCGGGCACGCGCGGGAAGGGCGGCGATGGCACGACAGTCTCCTTAACCAGCGTCGCCGCACTCCCAGGCACCGGGTCAAGATTCCGCGTGCACACGGGCTGAACCACCTCCTCGCCGCCACCGATTCTGTTGCCTTGCGCTCCTGGCGATGGGTGGCGTCTCTTTCTCTTCGGCGTCTTCTTGGGGGCCTTTGGCGGCGCTGGTCTGGGATACGACAAGGGAGGTCGCAACGGCTTTTCTTCCGGGAAGTCCTCCAACCTCTCCTCGCGCTGCGCGATGTAATCCGGGATGACGACCGCGTTGTACGTTCTCCGTGGGGCAGCCGCCATCCGCAATCATGGCTGGATCTCCTCTTCGTCGCTCGCGATCACTTGCGCAATGGATAGGAGCTCAAGATGTATGAGCTCCAACAATCCTGGATCGGTCGTCTGGAGCTGGGCGAATGGGTACAACGCCACCGTCCCCTCCTTCTGCGCTGGCTTGGGCCGCGTGATGACATAATAGATGACGAAGTCTCCCCAATACAATGGTCTTCGTGATCCACGAAGAATCGGAACATCCCCAACGCCACCGACTTGTATAGCGCACGGTGCAACTCCCACTCGTCTTCGTTTGCGAAGGGCAGCGACTCCACGTCAGTCAGCTCCACCAAATACTTCGAGAACTCGCGCATAGGATAAGGGCCCTCCGTGAGTTGATAGGGGAGAGTGGTGTAAGAGAAGAAGAGAGGCATTTAGTACGGGGCAGGTGGAATAGCTTGGATGTTGAGAGGGGCAGCGGGAGGAAGAAGCGCGGGGAGCTGTGGCACCAACGCAATTGGTCTGTCCTCTGCCCTGCGCAGCAGCGCTTCGTGGGCTGTGAATCGATGCCCTCCCCGTCCTTGCACTCTGGCCATTGATCTGGCCGCCTGCACCGCGTATTCGCGCACAAAGCTTTGCGCCAGCTCCCGACTCGGTTGCGGCAGGATTGTCAAGTCTCCGATAAAGGTGGCGACGCTATGCACGAAGTTAGGTGCCACCTGGAGCGCGCGGAACTCGATGAACACTCGAGTCGTCTCCCGCCCCGGCAACTGCGTCACGTCCACGTACACCCCCGCATACATCAGCCAATCACTAAGTAACGAGTACGCCGCCAGATCAGCAACCCCGGGCGCTGGCACGTTCACATGCTGAATGTCGTATCGCAACTGCCTCTCCTCATTGAACTGATGCCGCAACAAGCGATCTGCAAGCGGCGTCTGGAAATGCTCGAGGGGCTCATGCTCTGACTGGCGATGGTTCATCCTGCTCTCTGAAACTCTCAGCACCAAGGGACGAGGCAGATCGGGAAGAGGAAGAAGACGAAGAAGGAGAGGAGGAGAGAGAGGACGAAGGCTCGGACGGGACAAGAGTCGATTCGCGGCCCGGAGATGGCTGAAACAGCCGAAGAGCCGCCGCGTGGCGTGTAAGCGACCTGGCCTGCGTGCTATGCCGGGGGACCAGCTTCACAGAGTGCTGTCCTCGTGCGCCAACTTCCGTCACTTCGTAAATGCCGGTATAGCGTGGGTGGATCTTGGAGGAGCGCGCAGATTTTCGTACCTGCACCAGGTCCCCGATTTTATAACGGGGCATTGGGCCCGCTATCGCGTGTCGGTTCTCATAGTCCCGGATCTGCCGTTGATGCGTCAGATGTACGGCCCTTTGTCATCTTGGGGCTAACGCGGGATAGGTCCGGGCCATCAGATCCAGGTAATGTTGGGCCTTGTCCTTGTGCTGGACCCGGGTCACTCTAACTTCCGTACCCACTAGAGGTGACAACTGCACTCTGGGGACGCTATTGGTTCTCAGTTGGAACGGGGACACCCCGATGCTCCCGCGGGGAGTAGCCCGATAGACGGCCAAAATGTGGTCGACTATGACAGGCCAGGGCCTGGTATCACCTGCCGTGATATTCCATCTAAGTGCAATCTTGATCATTCGGTTGGCATTCTTTACGAGCCCGTTGGCTTGAGGCCAGTGCCCTGGGGAGTATGAAATTCTAACGTCTGCCCTTACAAGGTGTCGCTCTACCTCCCCCCGGAACTCGGATCCATTGTCCATATGTATCTCTTCTACGTCCAGGTGCATGCACAAAAAGCGATTAATGTACCAGGCTACTTCCTGCGAGTTTCGGCTGGTCATTGGGTACGCTTCGATCCATTTCGAAAAATGATCTACGGCTACAAGAAGAACATTGAGTTCTCCTTGATCAACAGGGCCTCTCGGCACGTTGATGTCCGTCGTATCGATACTGACCCGTTGGAAGGGGCGCTTTACCTGGGTAGGCACTATTGTACAGGGCATCTGTATTGGCGCCTTATCGGCCGCGCAAGTCGGGCAAGTCCGGACGATGTATTTCACATCTTCCCGGATTCCCGACCAGTACCATCCATTTTTCTCTATTGCTTTTTCCGTGTATTTGACTGCAAAGTGGACCGCATCCTCCTCGTTGGCGGCTCGTGTCCAATCGAACCTGGCCTGTGGGTGTGGAACCGTCAGCCAACTAGATCCGTCGACGTCATCATCTTTTCGTTTTTGAAGGACGGATCCCTGCCAGCGGTAATCGTGAGCCCGTTCCGTGACACGTCGCCGTTCAGCCTTGGTAAGCTCCATCAGCGGGTCGCCTGTCAGTCTCCGAAATAGCAGAAGATCCGTCCACACTTCCGCTCGGCGGACGCTTGGCAAAAATCCGTCTGCCGTTCTAGCTTCTAGATACCGTTTTTCCGTAGGTACGTGGTCCGTTCGACAGTTGGGACAGTTCCAACTTTTTTCATTCTGATATCGGGCACAACTCCCGTGGGACCGGACGATGTGACATTGACTACATTGTACCCAGGGAAGAAAGCTAGGCCCCTCGAGAGGAGGATCTCCCCCTGCCGGTATCATGGGCAAGGTGCAGAAGAAACAAATTTGGGAAGGCGTGCTCGGAGGGGAGTCGGGGTCAGGAGAGGGGGTTAAAGAATAGGGAAGGGGAGAGGGGGTGGCGGCCTCCTCATGGGAGATTGCCATCTCCGATTGCTGCAGTGCCCTTGCGGAGGACATTCACCTCCCCGTGGCCGGGTTCCGTCGAAGGCGAAATCGGCTTCCACAGGATGAGTTTTTCGTTCGCGGGACTCTTGTTCGGCGGTTGGAGGCGCGTCAGACCATCGGCGTTCCCGTGCTGCCTGGTGGCGCGGTGGCGGATATCGAAGTCGTAGTCCTGCAATCTCACCGCCCACCTTCCCAAGGTACCCGTGTAGTCCGTGTTGTTCCGCAACGATAGCAATGGCTGATGATCCGTCACGAGCACGAACTTCTGGCCGTACAGATACGGTCGGAAGTGCTGAACCCCCCACACCACCGCCAAGCACTCACCCTTGCACGCCTCGTAGTTTGACTGCGCCTGACTTAGCGTTTTCGACGCATACTCGATGACGTGCTCCCTTCCATCCGTTCCTTGCTGAGTCAGCACCGCCGATATCGCCTGCGGCTGCCAGTCGGTATGCAGCGCAAATTGTCTTGTCGGATCGAGACGCGCCAACACGGGTGCCAATGTCAGAGCCTCCTTGAGTGCACGAAAAGCCGCTTTGCATTCCGGCGTCCAGATCAGCTGCTCTTCCTTCTTCAACAGGTTCGTCTGCGGCTTGGCGAGGCAGGCAAAGCTCTGAATGAAGCGTCGATAATAAGAGGCCAACCCTAGGAAGGCTCGAACCTGAGTGAGCGTGACCGAGGACGGGGCTTCTCGAACCGCTGCTACCTTCCTGGGATCCGGTTTCAGTCCCTCGACCGTGACGATGTAGCCCAAAAAGGAAATTTCGGACAGAAAGAACTCGCTTTTCTCTAGAGCCACTTTGAACCCCGCATCTTTCAACGCATGCAACACCCATTCAACATGTTCCACATGGTACTCGTAGGTTTTGGAAAAGACCAAAATGTCATCCATGTACACAATCACACAGAAATTTATCAACGGCTGTGTTAAACGGGTTTTGTTAACGAACTCGTCGAAGGCCATGTTCATAGCCCGCTGGAATGTTGCGGGGGCGTTGCAAATTCCCATGGGACACCGGATCCACTGCCACGTGCCCTCGAACAGGACAAAAGCGGTTTTGGGCCGGTCTTCCGGTCGGACTGCGACATGGTGAAAACCGTGTTGGATATCGAACTTCGAAAAGACCCGAGCGGACCCGATAGCATCCAGCAGATCGTCAATCCGCGGCAGCGGATAGACATCTTTGGTAGTAATAGCGTTTAATTTGCGGTAGTCAATACACACTCGGACTGAACCGTTTCGTTTCGGCACGAGGACCACGGGAAACGACCACGGTCCAAGCGATGGCTCAATCCACCCCAACCGTTCGAACTCCCGTACCCTTTCCAAGGCCAGCTGTCTTTCCTTTAGGGAATAACCGTACGGTCAGCAATGTATTGGCGCGCGATCACCGGTATCAATCGCGTGTTGGATCAGGTGGGTAAGTCCTATATCGTGGTCCTGGATACTGACGGCCTCTGGGTAGGCCCGTATAACTGCCAACAGAAGGCGTTTGTAGTCGTCAGGCACATGGGTCGGCAGCCGAACGTCCACGTTTCCCTCAGGGAGGGAGATCGTCGACGTAACCATGGGGACTGCCGCGTTGGCTTCGGGCGAGGCACCAAACAGAGAATTGTCGGTTTTTGCCGAAATCACGGTTGCGATAAGTTGACTGTCTGCTGGGCTTATCGGTTCATTTTCCATGTCACTGTCGTTCTTGAGCTCGGTTTCAGCCGAGGGTTCCACTGAAAAGGCCTGTATCAATTCCTTCGGCCTCCATCGATATTCCCTCGTCCGGGGTTGAAATAACACCCCTTCCTTCAAGAGCAGGGCGACTTTTGCGTTTGTAAGCAGGGGCATGGGAGGCCGAAAAGTTAAATCGCACAACCCCCTAAGCTCCGTAAACCTTTCGGGTAAGGGGTTCGTCCTAAGATATAAGGACGCAGGGGGTTCCGAAAGGTCAGTTATTCGTGACACCCTCAGCAGGGGTTCTCCCTGCACCACGGAGGAGAAGGCGTGCAGCCAATTGGACTCGCTCCGAATTATTTTCAGGGGTTCTCGTCGCCAGGAATGGCACCACCGATCCTGCACCCGGATCGGATATCGGTCGGGTACATAAGTCTCGTCAGTTTCCGACGAAGTTTCATTTTCGCCTGGTGACAGGCGTCGGATCATGTTGATTTGATGGGCTTTCGTGGTGATTCGAGGCGCCGGCTGGGTGCGCATACGCACCGCCAATCTCATCGGTATCGTTTGTGGTTTAGGGTGGGCTGATGTGAGCACCACCTTACAGCTGTCAAAGTGCATTCGCGCTCCGACCGCCGCCTGCCACGGAATGCCTAGCAAAACATCATACGCCTGTACATCCAGTACGATTGCGTCGCACAAACAATGCACCCGCCCCACCCGTATAGGCACGTTCGTTATCCACCCCTTACAATGAATGTTGTCCTCCGTAGCGAATATATACAGTTCGTCCGGTCGGAGGGGCTGAACCTATCCTTCCCTTCCCAATCGTTTCGTCAATCTCCAAGAAATGGCGACCGCTGACGATCCCGAGTCTAGGATGGCGGCCGAGGGGTTTCCCCAGACCTCGCAGTCACACTTAACGCTTTTCCAGGTTATAGGATAGGCTCGGAGGAATACCTTAGGCTTTTCCGAGCCAGGATCTACGGTCTGGATCATTCCTACTCGGTTGGCTTCGTGCACCGTCGAGGTCGAAGGCTGTGACTCTTCGTTTGTGGGTAGGTCTCGTAGGACCGGCTTTTTGCCCTTTCGACTTTCCTCGAATCGACGCTTGTTTTTGAGGCATCGTTCGATCAACTTTTCGTTAGCCGCTTCGGAAATGGTTAGCAGATAGGAAATAGGGACGGGGATCCATAGATCCAGCGCCTTCAATGCATCCAACACGTCGATGTGACCATCTTTGTACTCAGGGCCAGGGGCCATGAGATCTTCGAACCCCGGCCGCCAAGGCCCGAGGTCGCTTTCCTCGGTAATCCTTTGGACGTGACGTATCACTCCAATGGTCTCGGGTTCGAACATCGCCGCAGCCATATACTCATCGGGTCCTATCTCGGTGGCCGCAGGGGCCACCATTTCCGTCGTTCCAGTATCCATCACCGTGGCTACCCTCCCTTGTCCCGCAGCGGTTGGAGCCGCCAACAGGATTTGGGAAGGTCCTGTAGGTCCCGCGGGCCCACTCTGCGTTCGAGGTTTCGGACAATCTTTCACAAGGTGGCCCGGCTGATTGCAGTTGTAGCGCCGTAGAGGCTGGGCGACTCCTGCTGCGGCTGGTCGGGTCATAGGGGAAACGGCGTCCATGGTCGTTTGTTGTCGTTGCGCCGCTGCCACCCGCTGCCATTGCAAGTTTTGAACAAATTCCGTCAGCGGGGCCACTACCGTGACCAGCTGAGCCGCGACCTCTTTCATTGATATTTCGTCCTCGTCCCGGCCTCCTTGAGCTTGGTCAGAGCGTTGGGAGGTCGACGCGGAAGACGAAATTTTCCGATCCGAATTTTTCATCGTCGGTCCTAACCCGAAGCGATCCTCGAACATTCGCGCCGTAGCGGAGTAGCTATGGCGTCCGACACCCGAAGGGTCGTCTTTGTCGGACTCCGAATCCAGACCTACATCGTAATTTTCCTTCCCGTTGTAGGGTCAAACCCCGGTAGACTTTCGAGCCTTAGTCGACCCCACTGCAGGTCCAGTTGGCTCGGCCCGCCCACACTCATGCTTTGGGCGTGGGCCATTCGTCCCAGGGTCACCCCCACCTAGTGCTTTGAGATGGATGGGGGTGGGCCATTGCGCGACAGAGCTTTGACATTGGGGATGTATCTCAGCCCTCACGCCGGGTGGTAGTCTCGCTGGTTGTTCCGCAAGGCTGATTTTTTTTTATTCTTTGTTGTGTCTCATGCAATTGCTCCTTCCAATGCGCAGGCAGTCCAAGGATTCTTTGAGTGTTTCTCTTCTCTTGTGCGTAGGCTAAGCGTCATCCTTAGGCCACGCACCATTTCCCTAAGCATTGTGCTATATGGCGTCATCGGGTTGCGGCGGGGCCGTCCTCTCCCTCGCCTCTACGCATCCATCGGGTCTCACAATTTGTTATCTTCCTTATTGAAGTAGGCCCCTTAGTCTTTTCGGGGTCCCCATATGCATGCACACACAACATCACATTTCCCTTGGTACGATTGCATTCTCATTTACACTCCAAGTCTTCAAGCGCAAAAGTCATTTTCATGGGTAGGCTCTATGTCAAGGGTCCCATAGCCCCTTTGTCCCTCTTCCCTTTCCCTCTTGGTGCCCAGTTCCTCTCGCCCCTATCCCGCTCAAGGCATTTCTAGCCATCACTCACCTGCACAATCCCACACAAGCAAGAAAATCCATACAATCCCCTGTTGGGGGTCAATACATAGCCCTTCCCACATGCCTATCTTTTCAAATTTTTTGGCTACTCTTTGTTCCCTCTTGTTGCTCAATCAGCCCATTCTCTTCTCATAGTCATGCAGTCGGGGAAATGGTAGAGTCAAACTGACCTTGCTCTCACTTATACTCTTTCTTGGATTCCGCCTTTTCTTACTTTTCCAATGTCCTTTTTCCTTTGCCTTCTTGGTGGCACAAGGGACCGACTATCCTTCCCTTGCCCTCTCTCTCCACCAAGTGAGGTCTGGTCTCCCTTTACTGTTTGCACCCTGGCATTGTAACAAGTGAGGGGAGAGGGTTAGTTATGTGCTAAGCGAGGAGACGAGAGAGAGGGGGAGAGAAGGCAAGGCGATAAGCGGGGAGGGGAAAGACATGACTAGAGAAGGAGGGAGGAAAAAGGGGGAGAGGGAGAAGGAGAGAGAAAGAGGAGATGGGGAAAGAGAGAGGAAGAGAGAGAGAGAGAAAAAAAGCTTCTAACCAAATCAGCTCCCCGTAGCAGCAATCAAACGTCAATCACTCGTCCCATAGAAAAGTTTGACTAAGTATATCTTGGAGTATTATACACGATCATGACAATGAGAAGCTAGATTAATGGAAAACACATGCTCATAGAGAAGAAGGTTATCTAAACAAGATCCGGAACATCATATCAAACATGAACTTGACAATGAAAGACTAGACTAGTGGAAAGCACATGCACAAAGAGAAGAGACCAATTAAGTAAAGATCCGGAACATGAACTTGACAATGAAAGACCAGACTAGTGGAAAGTACATGCACAAAGAGAAGAGATCAACAAAGTAAGGATCCAAAATTTTCACATCAAACATAAACTTGACAACGAGAGGCTTAGACTAGTGGAAGCATATGCAAAAGAGAAGAGATCAACTAAGCGAGGATCCGGGACATCACAATGAACTTGACAATAAGAGGCTAGACTAGCGAAAGCATATGCACAAGGAGAAGGGATCAACTAAGCAAAGATCCGGAACATGAACTTGACAAAGAGAGGTTAGACTAGTTAAAGCACATGCACAAAGAGAA